AAAAAGCAAAAAAAAGTGAAAAATATCAAAAATACAAGAAATGAGTATCTAAACCTACCTTGGGGCATTAATAAAAAATGTCAGGGAGGCAATTTTACTATAAAACTTGAAACATTAGATTAACCATTACTCTAACTTTAATTAAAAAATCAAATAACTGCACTCTGCTTTAAGCAACCCCATATTTGTATAACTATATACTCTTTTAATAACTAAAAATATATTTACAATTATTTTAGTTTTTAAAACTTGATTTCTATTTTATTTATATTACTATATTATATAGTAAAAATAATATGCTATAAAAATTTAATAAATTATTTATATTTTTTAATAGACAAATAATATCTTCCTATTCTTTCTGGTCTATTTCTACGATCCTTGTCTTGAACTATAGTAATAAGCATTTCTGATAAAGTCTTTACAAAAATGTAAAGAGCAAGATAATATGGAATTAAATACGGGTTGTAAACTAGAACGATAAATTGAATATAATAAATTAATATAGTGAATATAAACCCAGTAAAAATTGTGGCAGATTAAAATAAAAATTTTCCTCATTTCAATTAGAAAGTTACGTGCTTGATAAAATTTTTTGAGGATGCACTCTTTAAGTCTTAATTATGATTTAGAGCTAGGATTATTAATAGGTCTTAAAGAGGCCATAAATTTTATTTTAATCTGACTTCATTTTGATTAGCAGCAATAATTAAACGTGAAATATACATTTTTTATACCCCGTATCAAGCCCTTCGCCCTCAATTTTAGAACTTTCCGCAGTACTAAAAATAGAAAATGGAATATTAGTGAGATAAACGTTGGTAAAAAAAAAAGTTAAAAACATAAGATTCGACATACCCATGAATTAAAGAATTAAATACTAAAGCTGTACATATTAAACAATATAACGCCAAAGAAATTCGATGTATTTGTGACCTCGTCCACAAACTTAATCCGACATATTTATTTGGTATACTTAAGATGTCAACTCTTTTATCTGGTGGGTAAAAATAACATACCAAAAACATTGGTGAATGCCATAATGCTGTGAATAAAGCATAGTATCCTTTTCTTCGAAGCTCGACGTACAAAGCAACTGCCACAAGGGATGTAAATATAAAATAGACCATCGCGCCACCAATTAATCCCCATACTAATCTAGAAGCAGCGCAAAAATCAAATTGTTCTATAATAAAACGATCCGTGCATGCATCAAATAACACAATTTTATAGGTAGAAGTTGAAACACCGGCTTTAGCATTTTTAAGAACATTGTACCCTAAAAGAAACACATTGACAGCGAACATCTATTCAAATTAAAAAAAGGATATATGAATATAAATTTATCATGTTCAC